CATTTAAACTTCATGGGACTGATTCTGCAGGCCAAGAGTCAGTCCAAACAGTAACTCAAAACTACAAGAAGATGGCCGATGACAAACCAGATGACGAACTACAGTTGGCATCAGCTACTACAAAGCCATTAACAGAAGAAGACTTTATTGCTACCCAGGGTAACAACTTAACGCCTTACCCAGATCTGATGCCAAAGAAATCAAAACGACGACCCTTCAATGCCAATTACACACCAACTGAAGACATCACCGACACAAACAGCAGACCAAAAGATGCAATATTTCATTGGACAGTCTGCATGGCTACTGTTTACGATAACCTTTCAGTAGTCACATACGATAAAATACCAACAGGTGATGATGATGATGCCAATACCAATACTGGACCACAAGGAGATGACAAACAAATACCCGGCAAAGACTATAAACCACAAGAAGATGCCACATATCAATCAGATGACCATTACCACAGACCAGATGCTTGCTTGTATCCGAGAATAGAAAAGAAAATCGGTAACTATTCAAATCGCGACTGCGTTAAACTGAGCAAACACGAGTTTGTTCATAGACTGACAAATATTATTCAAAACAAGTATAAAAACATTTAGGTTGATAGAAAAGATGCCACCTTTTATTAAGTTTCCCGTTCCAATTTATATCAAATTGATAAGAAAGTAATTTAAGTTTAAGTTACACTGTCATACCATACCATGTTTTTTTTTGTTATGTTGAGAAAAAGACTTTTGTATACATATAAGATATTGATATGTTGAGTTGAACTTTTGTTACAATAATTGATATTGTGTTATTATTTGTTAACTTTTTTGTTAAGTACAAGTTTTTCTGTTTGAGTTTTATGAGGCTGCTTTAGGTGTCTTAGTGAATGTTTTTTGTGCTCGTTACATAGAATTTAAGTTTCTATGGGCTTGATGTTTTGAAACATCAAAAATTTTTGAGTTTTAGAGATTTTCTATAGGATTTAAGATCTATAGGCGTCTGGTGATATGTTTCACAGACATTTTTTGTTCACTTAAGTAATGATCCTAAAGTAAGCGTTTGCTTACCATAGATGTGCATAGCTCCATCGCAGCTAGGTCTAACACATATGCTTTTTGTGATTTTTTCACAGTGGTGTGAAACTTTGATTTATTTAAAAGTTAATATGTATTTTTACATATCATTAGACTAACAAGATTTAAGTTGGATATCATATATTTTTGTTGTATGAGATAGACCTGTTTTACTTATGGTATAATTGTTAATCATTTTGATACTACTTTATTAATGATACAGTATTGTTAATCATCTGTCAAAGCTATATTTCTTATGATTGTATTTTAACATGGTGGTGTAACTGATTCTTTAAGAAAACTTTTGGCAGAAACAAATTTAAAGTTCAAATCTATTATTGATTCTATTAAAAGGTGATGTTCTTTTCTGAAAGTGTTTTGTGTAGAAAAAGATAAAGAAAATTAGCGTAAAGTGTTATATGAATAGTGATAAAGTGTTTTATGAATAGTGATAAAGAAAATCTGAATTGTAGAATAAAGTGTTGATTTAAGTGAAATGAATAACGCGCAAAGTGAAACAAATCAACAGATCGCACATCTGAGTAAATAGAAATTAAATCGAGCATCTGAGAAACATTACCAAATCGTGCATCTGAGAGACAAATAATGATATCGCGCAACATGTAAATAACTGTGCATAGACATTGGGCGCAATGAACATTTAAGGTGGTTGTGCCATCATGCACTTATATAAAACATAATTGTTATCGCGCATAAGTATCAAATCCCATAATTGTGACAAAACCTAGTGCAAAGACATTGGGCACAGTATGAACATTTCAGGTGGCTGTGCCAGCACACTAGTAACCCCGAACATGACAAAAAAAAGAAAACCCGATGATGACAGAAAGAAGAAATAACATTTGTAAAATTGTTATCATGTTATAATATAGTAATAACACTTCTTTCATTCCAGGACAAGACATTTTAATTATTATATTCTCATTTTGTATTTACATGATGCATAGATTTTATTGATAAGATATTTCTATTTCCATGTAATATGAGATAAATAATATTTCACATTGACTGCATGCTTGTACATTTTTGTAAATATGTTCTTTATTCATTCTTTAAGTAGATTTGTTAGTTTATTGTTTTATACTTTATAGTTTCATCCATATATTATATTGACATGGACATTTTTGATAAGATAATATGCTATTTCTTTGAGGTATCTTAATGATACAGTTTAAGTTCAAGTTTTATCTTGGAAAAAATTTATTGCTTATTGCAATAAATTTTTTCTTTTTCCAAAACCGGTGTATTGTTGTAAAGTTGGATTCCACTTACAACAGCTTACATAATTATTATATAATATTGCATAATATTACTCAAGAAGTTTAACATGTATAATCTTAAGGAATATTTTTCAAGAAATATTTAGGGTTTAAACTTTAACTTAGATTTAAGTTTATTTTAAAGTTTAATCATATTGAATATTGTATTGTTTTACAGACATTTCATTCTTATCATTCATTAGTTTAATGTTGATTATAGTTTGTAGAACTTATTGATACACTCATTAACAGTAACTTAGCATGGCATAAGACTCTTTATATACAACATATAGAGAATGGTTCTACTTTTACTTATATTATCCTTAAACTTTAAAGTGAGATACAAGTTACTGATTTAGCATTATATATGTTTGTAAATATGTTTAGTTTCTTATTAGTATTTTGATTATTTTGATTACTTTGTGTTACTTAGTCATTATTATCATCTTTTATAGAAAATGTCAATATTGTTTCATGTTAAACTTTTCCATGAATCATAATCTATTTTAGACTAGTTATGTAAAGAACTGATAAGCCTAGAGCATTTGTTAAGTAAATTCTGGTTGGCTGTAATTTGACCAATCAGATAAGTTGTTACATACAGTGCCACCTGTAGGTAGATGCTAGCTCCCTCTGGGATTCAGAAATACATTTATACAAGCATCTCAGACAATTTTGTCATTCTGCTGCTAATTTTTGGAAAAGTAACATCTCTAAAAGCTCTCTAAGGTTAATCAATTATTTAATTTATTTTAGGCACTTTGGCATTTAAATGAACCTTAGAGATTATCTAAATTCACTGAAATATTTTTGTTAAATTTGTAAGTAATATAAGTAATTATTTTTGACAGAATTAATTTAGATTAATTAATATCTTTTCTTTGTTTTAAGTGGCAGCCATCTTGAATTATTAGATCTTTATTTTTGTTCATATAGATTAAAACAGGGCTTGCTACTATTCAGATTTATTAGTTTAACAGCACAGAATCATTAAGGTTATTTTTCATACTTTCATTTATAACAGTTTAAACAACTTTCAACTGGTTTAAATCTTTTATTCACTAGTTTATTTTTATTCTCATATTTTTGGTTAATTACAGACAGTTTATATTAAAGTACATTTTGTCAACTTCTTTAGTTTTAAGTAACTTTTAGTTAAGTGTAAATAAAAGCTTAGTTCATTAAAAATTTGGTTGATTTAAATTTATTCAACATTTGTGTTTTATTTCCCTTTGCATTTAAAGGGTGGTGTCATCCTGACGATTAAATTTATTCCATTAAAGAGTACTCCTGAGCAAACTAAGAACATTAAAAAGTAAATATTAGGTAATAGGTAACTAAATTCTATTTATAGAAAACAAAGGCTTAACAATTTTCAACACCACAACAATGGTGCCAAGTGGGATAGAGGCCTGCTTCTATTTTTAGAAACCACTTATTAACCATAAATTTTTTCATCACCACAACAAATGCAAGTATCATATTCTCTTGTATTGGATAGTGTAGACACCCTACTTGAATGAGTTTTAAAGAGAAATTATGTGACATTCAAGAAGATAATTCCTTGCAAGAAAATTAGAACAGGTTCTATTTTTCTACAAGTTTTTGGCTGTCAAGACACTGATAACACCGGTTTGACACAAAACATGTGCCCCGAAGGTGTGATAGTGTTGTTTTTTTTATTATTTTCTGACTTTTTTGTTACTGATTCAGTGTTCATGATCTGTAAATTTTAGTAAATGTATAAAATATCTTGGTCAGAGGATCATATCAATAAACTGATACACAGAAGAGCAAAAAAAAAAGTTTTTCAAGTAGTCAAAATGGATTTTAAATGATCTTGTTCATTTAGTGAATAACTTTCATCAAATAAAGAATTTGCATCAATTTATCAGCTCAAAAAATATTTTTCTCACATTTTCCATTATTTTAAAAGAATGTACACATTTCAATTTCATTTACTCCATTGTTTTTAGCTAATTGCATCATTTTCCCGCTTTTTTATTCACATATTTTACAGAAACATGATAGCATTGCAAAGACAAAGGTATAAATCCTGGGCAATCTTAATTAGACATTCCAGTAAAAATTGTGCCTGATTAAATATTGAAAGGGCCATTTATTTAGCTTATCTAAATGTGACATGTAAGAAACTTGAATAGGTGTAGACACGGCCTAAGATAAAGAAAACAAAGTTCATTTCAAGCACATCGATCCAAGTTAACCAGATATTACATAGGTGGCTGTTTAATTTCTGCTGAAAATCTGAAGGTAGTCTTACTTTAATATTTTCCCGCCAAAGAAATTCGAACATCGGCCAATATAGTAATAAATCATTCATTTCCGGAATGTTATTTTTCACAATCTTAGGTACTCAATAATTTTTAACCATTTATAACCTGAATTTAGTCCATAGTGATAATGGATGAGTGATTGTAAATAATCTAATGCCCAAGATTTTGAAAAAAGCTTTGCTACGATATTGGCCGATGTTAGAATTTTTTGGCAGGACAGCATTACAGTAAGACTACCTTAAACTGACAACTCCAAATTAAGACAAAGACCAGGGTGCCTCCCATAATCAGCTCAGAAAGAGAAGTACTATATGAGGAATGTCACATAAAAGTGAAGTTGTATATTTTTCATGCAGATATGATGAAGTTAAAGTGGCACAGGCAGGAAAAGACCTAGCAGCTGCACATATGTTCCTAAAACTTGGTGGAAAGGTGAAATTTGTAGATGATGATGTATGGTATCAGAAGTTTGAGCATCAACCATCACCATTACCTACAACATATGAAGAGGGCTATAAAGTGGAGGCTGTTGATGTATCTAATATAGTTTTCCTGCATGAAGGTCTACAATATTTTTGTAAGTGTCTAGTAATAGAACTGTAGCATTTTAAGCTCAGAGATGATCTTTCATGATACATGATGTCTGATGTCCATCATGCGTCATCTGCTGTTATAAAACAATTTTTTATGCAACATTTCTTCCTAAACCATATGATAGATTTTGACTTCACAACAATGTTCCTTGGTTGACCCTTTACAAAAGTTCTTTAAATGGTCACAATCTGGTGTACTAGTTGGTCACAGTAGCTATTAATTAATTTTGAAAAAAAAAATCTTTAAAAACCTTCTCCTTTGTAAGTTCAATGTCCAGTGTTAAGAGATTTGTAGTGGATTTTTTATAGTAGACCTCTGTAAAAGTTTGAATGGTACAATTATTGATGAGATGAGATCTGGCAACCTAAAGCTGTATTGAAAAATTATGACCATTTCTAACAATGAATCACAGGTGAGTCATCTAGGACCATCATAGCTCTCCTGTTAAATAATGTACATGACATTTTGTATACTTCAAGAATTCTAAATTTCCTACGAGAAAAAAATTGTGCTTGAGAAACATAAATTGATAAGGATTCCATTTCTTGCCATTTGTAAATTTATGCAAAACCAGATTGGTGCAAAATGATATCATCATGAATTTACAGATCATTGAGTCAGTCTTGTTTGGTGGATAAGTGAGATGGAATGCTTCCTGACTAATTATAATTGTGTTGATATATTTAAAATTGCAATAAAAATGTTTTTAAAACTTGTTATCGGGCTTTAGTTAATTAGTTGATTAGGATGCCGTCTAAATACAACCGATTAATCAAAAGAAAAGGAAGAGTTGAGCTGTCATGGTAGTCTGGTTGAGGCTGCTTGTATAAGTAACTTCCTTGTAAGAATAGTGGCCAGCTTTTGAGTTTATGCTTCTTGGTATTTTGTTGTTATTTCATTGCAGATGATACTAGTTATGTAGTTATGTAGCATATTTACAATTTTGTCACATGTACTGCTATTTCATATGCACCAGTGAGTAATTGTAGAGATTTTTTGTGTGAAAACAGTGGAATATGGGGGCAAAGACACATTTCTAGTTTAAAATGTATATTTATTTAAAAAATTGTTTACTCATCTGAAGTCATGTCACCTTAACAATACAATTGTTGTTTTATTTATGCTACATGTACCTGAAAGCATTAAATAAACAATGTTTGTAGCACCTTGGCTTGTTGATGGATATGTAGATATTTTGTATGTAGGTACTCTCTGGTGTGAGTTCGATCCCCAGGAGGTGCTTTGGTAGTTTAGCACAGAGGAAGGTAGTCTAGTACTGGTGTAAATCTCCAGGAATGATGGTTAGGAAACTACCCGCCTGTATGATTGAAATACTGTTGGGAAAAGGCGTAAAATGAAACAAAGAAACAGTATGTAGTTACTTCTGCAAGGACCTCTAGCATTTGAGATTTGTGGGAATAACGGTTAAATACCCTGAAAATAGATTTTTGTAGTTGTTATTTCTTTTTTTTTTCAGATGAACTGGAGCATGTTAAATTTATTCGGTTATCAAAGAGTAAATATGTGGATGATTGGTACATAGAAACGATTATACAGACCTGTCCTAATTTAGAGGCTTTAGATATCAGTGATTGTCCTCAAATAACAGATAATGGCCTTGAGATTCTCTATAGATTAAAGTAAGTGAACGTTTTGTTTCAGTTTACAAATGCACATTGTTTAAATAAACTGTGCATGTGCTTAGGGTGACGTTACTTCTGCCAGTATGAGTGAAGTTATATAAATTCATATGATACTATAAGAAAATAATTACATATGAAATTACGTTAATTTTGACGAAAAATTAATTTATTAAGGTAAACCATTTAAGATGTGATAGAATATGCAAGAAGAAATATCATGTCATTGGTCGAACCATTAACATTTATCACTTTAATTAATTACATGTTAATCAACCGTGGGTATTTGATGATGTTGCTGGTATACTAATGGATGTTCTGCTACACATGACAGATATCATCATCCTTTAGCTTATATCTGATACAATACATTCTTCTATATCATAGTCTTAGAGAAAATTTAAATAAATTGTTGATATCATGTACATTTACATTGTATATTTAACTTATATTACAAACTGACGTAAACCTATCATTAACTATGAACATTTTATGAATTTCAGAAATCTGAAAGTTGTCAACATTACAAACTGTCATAAGATTAAATGCAGTGAGGCAATATGTGCTCAACTGTATGATCAGCTACCAGATCTGAATGTTATCGGACTTGATTCTTTAACTAATGTGACAGGAAGTGTCGATTTACTTGAATATGAAATGAACACAAGTAGATACATGTCCTGGGGATCCTTTTTAAACCAGAAACTTGGTCTCAACAATGAAATAAACATTGATGATTTCATGGTGTCACAGATGAAAAAGTTAGGAATAGAAATTGACAGTGATAAAGACAATGCAAATGCAGGAAAAAAGGATGTTACTGAAGCACATAAAGATAGCCATGTTGAATCAGATCTTAAACATTCTACAGTAGGTTCTGTAAATACTTAGAATCAGGATTTCAAGTCTTATATTGGTAGTTATCAATAAGATAAGTAAGATTGTAGCAGTAATTTGTACTTTTACATGTGAAATTATGACCCGGTGGTTCTTTATGGAAAATTACAACTGTAAGAATTGCTTTCAGATTAACAACATGAATTGGCTTTGTTCATGATGAAATTATGCATTTATTTTTTCGATCAGCTTTTTGAAAGGAAAAAATCTGGCATGCACATTTTGATTTCAGTTCTGAAGACATTCTGTTATGATGAAGATTACCGATATCTCACAGTGCAGTACATTAATTATTGAAATATATTTTAACTGTAGCCAAACTTTTAGATGAGTTGTATTTGTAATTAATAATTGGAAATTACAACAGAAACATGTTAACTGCAAGCACAGAAACATCAACTCATGTATACATGTTAACAGGTGAAAAATATCTGCTATTTTGTGATGTTGTACTTTGTTAAGAACATCAGAAATCATTTAATGGTTTTAATTGTTGATACCTTTAAAAAGATTTGGAACTAGTAATAAAATTTGTTTTTGTTATGCGAAGAATCAAATAGTTTTTCATTCCTGCCCATCAGCTTTTATATTTTCACTTGTTTCTATGATGCTTATGAAATTAGAACATCTTTTTACACTCAAAAAAATCTCTACAATGCACTTTGGTAATATTATTAATGTAATAAGTTTTTTTCTGCATATCTGCATTACTTTTTTATAGTTACTCAGATGGCCTAGTATATTTTATGTATTTCTTAATAACATTTAGACATAGAAAACATATAATTATAAATGGGTCATCTGAACATTCTTGCTTAGTGTTAAAGAATAAGATATATATTTATTAAATTCAGATTTTGACACTATAGAAATTGCATTCAAGACCATCCAATGGATAATCCTGTGATTGCGATATGAGAAATAAAGAGTTTGAACTGTTATTTGAACTTATTGTCTTTCTTTGTTACAACATAAAAATATCCAAGAGCAGTTTAAAAACAGTTACACCATAACTGTTGAAATTGGCCACTATTTATATTATATTGATGGGAATATACATGTAAACCAGTAGTCATTTTCAATTGTATATTTTTAATTAGAAATCTAATCATTAGATTAGTTATTTTAATTTCATGTTAAAATCTTATAAACATTACAAATAGGCACATTCTTAACAAATACTGGAGTATCAGTATAAAATATATATCCAGTCCAATTGATGTAAAACGAATGGAATGACACCAGTTTATGCCTATATCAATATATGATACCAGTTTATTTGTCTCTACCAATGAATATAATAAATGATATCAGTTTATGTCTCTACCAATGAATGATACATGTATCAGTTAAAAACTATACCAATGCATGACACAAATTTATGTCTATAAATGAATGACACTATCCTGCAATTCAAAACTGGAACTAATACAGTATGAATCCCCTGTTTTACATATTACACCGTTCAATGATTTGGTTTGTTTCGTATTATGCTCCATGTAAACAACACTGTTTAACATCCACAATACACTTACATTTTCAAAATACAACTCTTAGCATATTGTAAATGCATGTTGTATAAAAGATAAAAGTATGATATCTAATTTACTGTAACGTATAAATAGTTAAATTTATCATTTTTATCTGTTTGACTTATGTACTTAGAACATCATCTTGCAGTTCTTTAAGGACCATTAGAAAACACTGGTCTACACACATCGTCTGTAGAAGGAACAAAATGGTCATTGGCTTGTTGATAACAATCAAAAGATGATACTTATATTTTTTTGTCAAAATATTTTGTTATATTGTGTACTTAGAACATATAATAATTGACCAATAATATTGATGTAACATTTACATTATTTAACTATATATCCGGTGTAAGAGTTCCGGCACTTCCTCTATCATCAGCTAGAGGTTTCTGGACCTTATTCTCTGGTTCAGGTTTACCAGTTACAGCTTCTACTTCATCATCAAGTTTCTTTTCATCAAAGTCAATACCTTCTTCATCACCCTTTTCTTCCCCTTTCTCCAACTTTGTTTCACCACTATCATCAGTTCTTTTCTCATTTTCATCTCCCTTATTGTTTCCTTCCATTTCATCATTGTCGTTTTCAGTGTTTTTATCCATTTCCTCAACAACGTATGTTTTACCTTTTTCACTTTTGTCAATTTCACTAAATCCTGGCGTTGTTCCGCTGTATTCTGTGAGATCTTGGTCAGGATTTTCAGGGACGGGCATCATGTCCCTGTCCAGATAAACATTCTGTATTCTACCGTGTATCACTTTAACATCTTTCACATCTTGCAGTTCTTTAAGGACCATTAGAAAACACTGGTCTACACACATCGTCTGTGGAAGGAACAAAATGGTCATTGGCTTGTTGATAACAATCAAAAGATGATACTTTTTTTGTCTAAATATTTTGTTATATTGTGTGCAAAATTTTACATTTATCTCCATATATTAACAAATCTTTAAATGTGACTATGTACATTGCACTGATGATTTGTATCTGTACCCTGTATTGGATAATGACGTACATACATTAAAAGTAGACCACAGGACATTGCAAAGCCTATACTTTAAAGTACTGTGTGATTTAAAATGACCTGAATTCGGAAAGTACAGTCATGTTTTGAGTTTTAACAGAGATGTAGATGCTATCTATGTCTCTGGTTTGACAAGAAGTTATATCTCCCTTCATTATTTAAAATCATTTGCCATTACTTACAATAAGTAAAGTGAAAAGTCAAAGTTTGAAACTGTAACTTATAACCTAAAATAATGCTACATACCCCGAAGTCCAATACTTGAATGGATGACGTCTCTAAGGCAAGTACAACTCTCAATATTTCCATTGCAGGAAGAGCGTTAAAAAGGTTTTCTCCTATCTGAAATTTACGCTGACAGGTATTAACGTATACAGATGATACGTCAATAATTTTAATGTGGTGATATGGTTAATTATTTTAACTACGGACCAAATTGGTTCGATCCCGTCTATTTAATGCGAAGAAGCTATCTAGCGAGTTTACGGTTCATCGACAGTAGTTCTCTAATGTCCAACCCATATAATGTACGGAGGGCCTTCCTGGAATTGTCCAAGTACAGCTTTGAAATTGCCATACGACTGTTACATTTACCGTGTGGTATAAATAATAATTAAAATATGAACTTGATATACAAAAAGTGAGCTGCTCCCAAAGTAATTATAATACATTGTACTGAGAAATGCTTAAATAACAACGTTATAACATAAGACATAAGGTGCCAAACAAGTAAATATGTTTTGTTATACCCGCAGAATTTGCAGAGTGTCGTTTTGTGCCATTTGTTTGGTGAATAATTTTAAATCAAGTTCGGTGATCCGGTTCTTGGACATGTCAAGTTCAAGTAAGGTCCGGTTTGTTGCAAGAGCCACGCCCATAAAAGCTGTACCTTCTGTGCCAAAACCGTTAAAACTAACATTCAACTTCTTTAATCCTACGTTTTCCTTAAACAAAACAGTAAAACAAATTAATATAGTTAGTTTAAACACATGATCATTAAAAAAATAAAACACACGAATATATAAAAAAAGAGATGTTGCATTTTTCATGAGCATTTGCAATTAGTTTAATGACCATATTCAATTTCATGTATTTTGTTTCTTTTGTGTTGAGAAATACCTCTTTTTAAGAATTTCAATACTGCTGTTTTATGCTGTACTAACATACTAAAGTGAGGTTCAACGAACATTGAGAAAAAACATTGCTTGAATGTTTAAATAAGGGCGTATAGTATGGGACTATTGATAAAAAGAACGCTAGAAGGTTGTATTTAGGACGTATAGTTTCGGTCCAATTACCTTAATTGGTTCGATCAGTATGCTTAAAACAAATGTGAAGTACTACAAAGAAGTTGTTTTTGTTCTAACCTTTACACCTTGAGCAAAATCTGCAGCACCTTTCTTCCTTATATGATTCCAACTAACATCTAGTCTTTCAAGAATGTCATTTGAAGCTGAAATTACGGAAAAAAAGAATCTAGACTTAATTAACACAGTCAAACAACAAAATATCAACTACTGAACACATTTGTAATAATAACAGAGCTTAATGTAAACTTATCTAGTCATTCTTGTCTGTGTATTAATTTTGAGCTTTAAGTTAACTTTTAGACTTAATTAACACAGTCAAACAACAAAATATCAACTACTGAACACATTCGTAATAATAACAGAGCTTAATGTAAACTTATCTAGTCATTCTTGTCTGTGTATTAATTTTGAGCTTTAAGTTAACTTTTAGACTTAATTAACACAGTCAAACAACAAAATATCAACTACTGAACACATTCGTAATAATAACAGAGCTTAATGTAAACTTATCTAGTCATTCTTGTATGTGTATTAATTTTGAGCTTTAAGTTAACTTTTAGACTTAATTAACACAGTCAAACAACAAAATATCAACTACTGAACACATTTGTAATAATAACAGAGCTTAATGTAAACTTATCTAGGTAATTCTTGTCTGTGTATTAATTTGAGCTTTAGTTACTTTTAGACTTAATTAACACAGTCAAACAACAAATTCAACTACTGAACACACTTCGTAATAATAACAGATTTGAGCTTAATGTAAACTTTATCTAGTTACCACCCAAGACAATAAGTTTTTGACAAATCTGTGTATTAATTTTCGAAGCTTTAAGTTGAAACTTAGCTCAAAATTATACAACAGTAATCAAACAAGCAGAATATGTAAACTACTGATCTAGGTCGTAATAGTTTTACTTAGAGTCTCTAATGTTAAGGTACTTATTTATGTCGGGAATCTTGTTCTGTAGTATCGATATTTTGAGCTTCTTAGTTTAGACTTAGACTTAATTCAAACACAGTCTCTGCAAGAACAACATTAATATCAACTACTGAAAGCACATTTCGAAATACATTAGTAACAGAGACTGTGGAACTGTAAACTTAGACATCATAAAGTCTAAATCACTACTATGACTAGAGTACATGTGTGATTAATTCATGTAAGCAGTCCTCATGTACAGTGATGAACTTATAGACTGTAATTACACAACGTCAATGTACACAAATGTCAAGCTACTGACAACAACATTGCGTATAATTCAACTTAATGTAGATATCTAGCTCATTCCTGTCTGGTATTATTTGAAGCTTTTGAAGTTAAACTCACTCTAGACTTAATAACACAGTCAAAACAAAAAACAACACTGGAACACATCGTAATAAGTCATACATGAGCTTAATGTAAATCTTATCTATAGTCAGCTCCTGATAAATGTGTATTAATTCTGTGAGCTTTTATTAAGCTTCTTAGTACTTAATTAACCACAGACTAAACAAAAAATATCAAACTTAACTGAAGCCATTCGTTAATAATAAAAGTTAATGCTAAATATACTATACTGTATCTAGTTCATGGCGGTCTTGTAATGGTGTATTTAATTTTGAGCTTTAAGTGATAACTTTTAGATCTGTATTTAAACGCAGATCAAACACTAAAAATTCAAAATACTGAACCAACATTGGCGTAACTAATAACAACAGAGCTTAAATTTAATTACTATTATACTAGTTCATACGGTCAAGTTGTACTCGTGTATTCCTAGTGTTAGCTTTAAGTTACTTTAGGACTTAATACACAGCGAAACAACAAAAAACAACCAACGAACAACAACACTTCGGTTGAATAAAACAGAGCGCTACTGTTATCTAGTCATTGTCAATTGTCTGGCTGTATTAGATTGAGCTTAAACGTATAACTTTTAAACTTAATCGAACACAGTCAAACAACAATATACAACAATGAGACACATTTCTGTGGAATATTATAGAAAAGAGCTGGGTACTGTGAAACTTATTATATCCGTCGATATGGGTTCTCTGTCATGTGTCATACAGGGAATTTTGAGCTTAAAGTTTAACTTTCCATGAGACTAGTTAACCACAGTCAAAAACCAAATAATCAAGACTTTAACTAATGTAAACATTCGTCCCCAAATAATAAACTGCAAAAGCAGAACTAGCAATGTACTTTAAATGTAGTTCTAGAATCAATTAGTCTTCGTGTTTTCTTGTATTAATTGCTGAGCACTAAATATTGAGGAGGTTTAATCTTTTAGACTTCATTTAACAACTAGTTCAGAGACTAACAAAATATCTAGGGGACTACTCGAACACTTTAGTTAAAATAAAAAAAGACAAAAGATAATAAATCTTAATCTAGTTCATGCTTCTTCAAAGTACTGTTTAATATATCTTCATGAGCTTTAACCCCAGATTGAAACTTTTACGCACTTTAAATTATACACAGTCATTTACACAATTAATAACGTATCAACTATTGGGAGACACAATTCCGTAAACATAGATATAATCAAGAGCATGTAATGTTAAGAGTCTTAGTCTAGTCTATTCTTGTCTGTGTATTAATTTTTGAGCTTTAAGTTAACTTTTAGACTTAATTAAACACAGTCAAACAACAAAATATCAACTACTGAAACACATTCGTAATAATAACAGAGCTTAATGTAAACTTATCTAGTCATTCTTGTCTGTGTATTAATTTCTGAGCTTTAAGTTAAACTTTTAGACTTAATTAACACAGTCAAACACAAAATATCAACTACTGAACACTTTCGTAATAATAACAGAGTTAATGCTTAAACTTATCTATGTATTCTTGTATGTGTATTATTTTGAGCTTTAAGTTAACTTTTAGACTTAATTAACACAGTCAAACAACAAAATATACAACTACTGAACACAATTCGTAATAATAACAGAGCTTAATGTAAACTTAAATCTAGTCATTCTTGTCTGTGTATATGAATGTTTGAGCTTTAAGTTAACTTTTAGACTTAATTAACACAGTCAAACAACAAAGATAACAACAACTGAACCATTCGTTAATAATACAGAGCTTAATGTAAACTTATCTAGTCATTCTGTCTGTGTATTAATTTTGAGCTTTAAGTTAACTTTAGACTTAATTAACACAGTCAAAACAACAAAAATATCAACTACTGAACACAATTCGTAATAATAACAGAGCTTAATGTAAACTTATCTAGTCATTCTTGTCTGTGTAATATTAATTTTTGAGCTTTAAGTTAACTTTTAGACTTAATTAACACAGTCAAACAAAAAATATCAACTAACTGAACACATTTCGTAATAATAACAGAGCTTAATTGTAAACTTATCTAGTCATTCTTGTATGTGTATTAATTTTGAGCTTTTAAGTTAACTTTAGACTTAATTAACACAGTCAAACAAAAAAATATCAACTACTGAACACATTCGTAATAATAACAGAGCTTAATGTAAACTTATCTAGTCATTCTTGTCTGTGTATTAATTTTGAGCTTTAAGTTAACTTTTAGACTAATTAACACAGTCAAACAACAAAATAAGTACAACAAACTGAACACAATTCGTAATATATGAACAGAGCTTAATGTAAACTTATCTAGTCATTCTTGTCTGTGTATTAATATTTGAGCTTTAAGTTAACTTTTAGACTTAATTAACACAGTCAAACAACAAATATCAACTACTGAACACATTCGTAATAATAACAGAGCTTAATGTAAACTTATCTAGTCATTCTTGTCTGTGTATTTATTTTGAGCTTTAGTTAACTTTTAGACTTAAATTAACACAGTCAAACAACAAAATTCAACATACTGAACACATTCGTATAATAATAACAGAGCTTAATTTAAACTTATCTAGTCATTCTTGTATGTGTATTTAATTTTGAGCTTTAAGTTAACTTTTTAGACTTAATTAACACAGTCAAACAACAAAATATCAACTACTGAACACATTCGTAATAATAACAGAGCTTAATGTAAACTTAATCTAGTCATTCTTGTATGTGTATTAATTTTGAGCTTTAAGTTAACTTTTAGACTTAATTAACACAGTCAAACAAAAAATATCAACTACTGAACACATTCGTAATAATAACAGAGCTTAATGTAAACTTATCTAGTCATTCTTGTCTGAGTATTATGTTTTGAGCTTTAAGTTATCTTTTAGACTTAATTAACACAGTCAAACAACAAATAATCAACTACTGGAACACATTCGTAATAATAACAGAGCTTAATGTAAACTTATCTAGTCATTCTTGTCTGTGTATTAATTTTGAGCTTTAAGTTAACTTTTAAACTTAATTAACACAGTCAAACAACAAAATCAACTACTGAACACATTCGTAATAATAACAGAGCTTAATGTAAACTTATCTAGTCATTCTTGTTTGTGTATTAATTTTGAGCTTTAAGTTAACTTTTAGACTTAATTAACACAGTCAAACAAAAAATATCAACTACTGAACACATTCGTAATAATCAACAGAGCTTAATGTAAACTTATCTAGTCATTCTTGTATGTGTATTAATTTGAGCTTTAAGTTAACTTTTAGACTTAAATTAACACAGTCAAACAAAAAATATCAACTACTGAACACATTCGTAAAATAACAGAGCTTAATGTAAACTTATCTAGTCATTCTTGTCTGTGTATTAATTTTTGAGCTTTAGTTAACTTTTAGACTTAATTAACACAGTCAAACCAACAAAATATCAACACTGAACTACATTCGTAATAAGTTAACAGAGCTTGAAATTTAAATAATAATCTAGTCATTCGTTTGTCTGTAATTGTATTAATTTTGAGCTTTAAGTTAACTTTTAGACTTAATTAACACAGTCAAACAACAAAATATCAACTACTGAAACACATTCGTAATAATAACAGAGCTTAATGTAAACTTATCTAGTCATTCTTGTCTGTGTATTAATTTTGAGCTTTAAGTTAACTTTTAGACTTAATTAACACAGTCAAACAACAAAATATCAACAACTGAACACATTCGTAATAATAACAGAGCTTAATGTAAACTTATCTAGTCATTCTTGTCTGTGTATTAATTTTGAGCTTTAAGTTAACTTTTGACTTTTTAAAAGTCAAAC